TTTCCCTACGGAACTCTTGTAAAGTAACTTTCCTGTCCCCTTAGATGGCCCACGTTCTGCAGGCTGGAGAGAACAGATGGAGCGACGGCGAAGGTTTGAATTTGATTTCCGAGACCGAGATGATGAGCGGGGTTACCGAAGAGTGCGATGTGGCAGTGGCAGTATGGAGGATGATAGGGATAGCCTTCCCGAATGGTGTTTGGAGGATGCAGAAGAAGAAATGGGAACTTTTGACTCATCTGGGGCATTCAAAAAATTCCTGTCTTTAAAAGTGAGAAACTTACTTTGGACTTGGTATACCATAACCTGTTATTTATAAGTAGTGGAATAAAGGTGGATGTGTGTGTTCTTTCTTTAGAAGGTTCAGAAGGAGCCAATACCTGAGGAACAGGAAATGGATTTCCGCCCTGTGAAGGAGGGGGAAGACCAGTCTGATTCAGACGGAAGTCACAGTGAAGAAGCCAAAGAACTAGATAAAATGCATGTGAGGGAAGGGGTTACAGCAGAGCGAACAGCAGCAGGTAAGGAGGGTTTCTTGGGTGTATTTCTCAAACATTGCTTCCATTTCCCAGACCAGTTAAGTAAAATTATCCATGATTTCAGAAGTAACAGAAGAAACAGTCAAAGAATCTTCACCATCCGCCAGGTCAGGTACTCCACCAAAATCCCAGTCACAGGAGCCGTTACCAACAAGCCTGCTTGAAAGAAGAGAGGACCATATGCCAGAAGTAATAGAAAAAACAGTGGATAAAGAGAACCAAATGGAGGATATCCCACCATCCAAAGTGCCCATTAGAGAAGGTAATGGTATATGAAGTCTTTAAAAAGACTTTTAAAAGAATATATATCCAAAATATGCACATAAGAATGCATTTTAAAAGCATAGTATGTGTGAGCAGATGAAAAATCAAGCCGTTTCTGCAATGTTGAAAGTATCTCGTTGTTTTTATTGGCTAATTTTAGTATTTAATTCAAGTGTACATACACTGGTTACTGCTGGAATACCAAGTCAGGTTTAAGGTATTAGTGTTGACTTTTAAGGCATTGAGTGGTCATGGACCCACGTACCTTCGGGACCACCTCCTCCAATATGTCTCCAGAAGAACACTGAAATCAGCTGACAACAACTTGCTGGTGATCCCTGGCCCTAGGGAAGTCCAGCTGTCCTCAACTAGGGCCAGGGCCTTCTCGGTCCTGGCCCCAACCTGGTAGAACTCTCTGCCAAACAACATCAGGGCCCTGCGGGATCTGATGCAATTCCGCAGGGTCTGCAAGGCAGAGGTGTTCCACCAGGCTTTTAGGTGAGGGGCAGCAACAGTTAAGACTGGCACCTTCTTTCTGGGTTTTTTTTCTTATGACCCCCACCTACCCTTCCCTGCCCTTCTGCACAGACAGCACTGTAGCTGGCAAAAGGGGTCTGTATCTCCATCTGTACTGTTAATTTATTGGATTATTATGATAATTTTATGCTGATTGTATTTTAACTGTTTTAAGATTGTAAAATGCCCAGAGCCTGTTCGCAGGGTGGGAGATTCATAAATTTAATAAAATCAATAAATTAAGTTTGGTGTATCTCAGCAACTGGATTGGTTGGAGGGCTGTAGGAAGAATTTTCACTATCCTTCCTGCTTATTGTATGGGCCACTTCCCAGGGTATTTATAGCTGGGCTGGGCTAAAATACACAGACCAGTTCATTGCCTGTCATGGACAGAAAGGAAAAACTCTTCAGTAACATGTGGATAGCCTAGTCCATAGATTTCTGGAATGTTCCATCTCATTTCTCCACACACAGCCTGCCTACCTCCCCATTTCAAGCCATCTGTAAGGAGGCTGGCTAAGGCTAAACATTTTCTTTGTAAAAGTGGACATATATGGGCCACTTACTTGTTTTTATTATTTGGCTGAGCAGATGCCAGTTGCCTATAATCAGTGTGAAAACTGAGTCTCCTGTCTAATTTTACCTATGCATCTAGAAATGTTCAGTGAAGGAGGGTCAGAATTATTTTACTCTTATCCTTAGACAAATAAAGATACATTTATCAGGAGCAAATGATTTGGATAGTAGTGTAGACAATTCGAAGCTCCTCATAAGTCAGCCAGCCATAGAGCACATAAAGAAATATTATTTCCATTCTTTCCCCCTTTTAGAACCAGTTTCCACTGTCCAGCCTTCACCACCAATTGCTCCAGATGTACCTTCTCCTGCTCATCTTCCAGACTCTAATCCGCATCCTGCCTTAAGACCTGTTCAGATATCAGTCACAGCTGCTCCAGGTATGGGGAATATTCTTGCTGACCCAGATGATGAAGAGGGCCTCAAACATCTAGAACAGGTAATGAATCTTCTCTTAGAAACTTATTACTGTTAAATTTTATTTGTACTTCTGCCAGCTGCATTTTCTCAGCAGCCGGAAGCAAATTTCTCATCTTTCATAGTTATTATATTTGCATCCCAATGCTGTAAAGCCAACACTCAGTCTTTAAGAGAGGGAAATGATGTTGAGATAATGGCTTGCATCAAAAACTTTGTCAATTTCCCCTCTAGTCCCAGCTGCAGACCCCAATATTATATTGTATGCCATCACATAGGGCCCTCAGTGACTTTTCAGGGGCTTGTGAAGCTGCAGCCGGACAGTATGTATGGGAAGAACCCCGTGCATGTGCACAGCATTGTACATTGTTGTTGGAGCCAAGCCAGGGTTGGAGTAACTTTTGATGTGTGGCGTTTGCTTCTGTAATGAAATGGCCTTCATTTCTGCTCTTACGTGTATGAAGGAATATGAAAGAATTAATATCTACATATTTCTCACGTGTGGGGAGATCTGCGGATACCGAAATCCAGTAATCCGGTAATCACGCTGAGAGAAAGGAGATTTTTCTCCAAACTTTTTTTTGGGAGGGGACACACCCCAGGTTTGCAGAAAAACTTAAAAGATAAAAAAAAATTACATTGGGTTGTTTAAACTGCCCCAACAATAACATGATCTGAAAATGTGCAGATTACTTACTTACTTGCGCAGCCTGGGGCCCTACTGCTGATGTGGTGGCTGCTGGGGGCCCTGTTGCCGATGCTGCATCTGAAGAGGAGGTCAAGTAAGGGTGGAGAAAGAGAAATTGGGGAATATTGACAGAGAAGGGGGGAGAAAGAGACTGGGGTAAGATTGTCAGGGAACAGGAGTGGGAGAAATAGATGGGGAAGGGGGGAGAAAGAGAAGAGGGAGATTGCAAAAGAAGGGGAGGAGGAGAAAGGGAGTGAAAGATTATTTGAGAAGGGGGAAAGAGAAGAAAACAAAGGCAGGGGATGAGATGTACCCTCCTGCAGTCCCCACTTGTTTATATTCTAATAGCCAAGTTGGCCAAATCTGAGGATACGTAACAGACAAGATGGATCTTTCTGCAAACTTGAAAATTGCCCCAGGTTTGCAGAAATTTTTGAAATCTTAAAAAAAAATGGAGGGGGTGAAAAAAACCCCTAAAATGATAAAGCTAAACCTGTAGCTTAAAAAAAAAAAGGAATGCACTCAGTGGTCATTGCTAGGCAACCACAACAAGCTTAGCTTCTGTCAGTAAAAGGCAGGGGGGAGGGGCAGGGTCCTTTCCAGCTCTGTTTAGGCCTCTAAGGGAAAACTCATTGTGACTGAACCTGGCAGGAAGCACTGGGCAGCTTGTTACCATATGACTCATCTAGATCTGATTGTTTACTAATGTTCAGCAGCAGCCACCCCATGATATCTGATGTATTGTACTGGTTAGAGTTTGAGACTAGGCCCTCAAATCCTCATTCTGCCTTGGAAGCCCACTGGGTGACCTTTTCTCAACCTAACACTTCACAAGCAGATCCAAGATTGGCCATTAAGGGAAGCTGGATGTCTCCCGGTAGGCTGATGGCCTCCCACTCACACCTGGGCCTGCCACCCCTTTGACAGGCTGAACCTGACCCACCCAAGCACTGCACAAGTTGAGAGAGGTGGCACTCAGCCAGCCTGAGGTGAGGTAGGAGAGACATAGCCCAGTCCACCAAAGCCCTGAGTGAGAGGCAAGACGGGGAGGTGATGGCATCTGGTTTAGCCTGCTTGAGGCAAGGCAGACTCTGGCACCCAGCTAGCCCCTGTATGAGGTGAAGTGGACACCCAGCCTGGCCAAGCTTTAAACAAGGAGAGCCAGATGACAGCATAGGGTTACCAGTCCCCAGGTCCTGGTGGGGGTTCCCCTGGTTTTCAGGGCTTCAGCGTGCCGCCAGCCAGCTGGCCAGCGGAGGAAACCACACCCCCAAACAGCCACATCCCCAACACAATGATGTCACCCGTAAGTGATGTCATCATGTCAGGAATGTCACACGGGATGCTCTGGTTTGAGGGCAAAACTCTTATGGTAAATTTTGGCCTAAAACCATAGAGCTTTGCCCTCAAACCAGAGCAGCGTTGTGCAACATTGCCAATGCAATGATGTCACTTCTGGGTGATGTCATCGTGTCATGGCATCCTAGAATGCTCTCCAGATCCCCCTGCTGGCTCGGTGAAGGGACCTGGCAACCCCATGACAGCACCTGGGCTGAGACCTGCACAAAATTATGTGAGCAGATGGTGGGACCCAGCCTGGCTAACCCCTGGGCAAGGCGAGGCCGATGGTGATGTCTGGCCAGGCTGAACGCCATACAAGGAAAGAGAAACCGTGGCTCCTGGCCAGGCTGAGCCCCCGTACAAGGTGAGGTGAGAGGAGGCAAGGCAAAAGTGTCCCACCAATCACTGTGCGAGGTAAAGGAGACAGTGCCTGGGCTGCCATGGTGAAGGAGGTAGTGCCTGGCCCACCCAAGACCTGCCTGAATCTAGGAAAGCAGCAGCTGGCCAGCTGGTAGGTAGGCTGCCTCTCCTTCCCTCCTTCTTTTGGGAGGGAGGGTCAGGTCAGGCAGACTCCCTCTTACTCTTTTCCTCCCTCCTTTCGGGGGGGTGGGTATAGGGTGGGCTGGGTTTTCTGAGGATAAAATGGAGAGGAAATGGAGGAGAGGAAAATGAAGTAAAGTACTTTGAGTGCCCATTATGAAGAAAGGTGGGCTGCAAATGAATTGAATAAAAATATGGCTGAAGATGGAGGAACAGATAAAAGGTAGGTGGGTAGGCAGGAAGGAAAGAAGGAAGCAGCGAAAGTTGAGGATATTGGGGTTGCCCCATGAAAGGAAAGAGGAAATAACATAGGGAAACTGGGATAGGGAAGATGGGCACCTTTCACAAGTCCTTGCAGGTTCCCCATTGTGCACCTGGGCCTGCCCCAGAAACCAGCATAACACAACTGGGCCGACTATATCCCTGTATAGAGGGTGCCAAGGTAGGATAGGGTGGAAAACTGAAAATGGGGATAAAGGTAGAGTGGCTGATGGATGG